TGGGTCATGCTACTTGGTGTATTTCAACTGAAGGCACGCCAATCAATTAATTGCCGTCAAATTCACTTCACATCCAATCCCAACATCTGGTTTGCAAGAAATGTTCTTAATTGAACAAAGAGATTGAGATCCAATGAATATTGGATCACTTCCTTTGCTGGAAGGTTATATCAACATGCCTGCGCTGCGGTCTTCGAGTCAAGACTATACCCGTCTGATGTCCAAGAATGCCTCTATCACGCACACAAAACGAAACTCAACGAGGTCAATACCCTCAATTTTGAATAAGTCAGTGACGAAATACATGGCACAGGGCCAATATCTCTCGAAACGCAATTCAAAGAGCAGCTCATCCCCGCCCGCTGCAAATATTGCACCAGCAGAGATCCTATTGGAGATTTTCTCCATGCTGACACCGCGGGACTTCGACAACGCCCGGCGGACATGCTCACAGTGGATGCGAATTAGCCTAAACCACAAGCTACTTGAGAACATGTTGAAAAGAGCAGGATGGTGGGATGCATGGCTGCAAGACCGTCAAACGCCACGCATCTCCCGGTTAGATGAAAGCGAGGTCTGGAGAATGAGCCGCCGCTTTGCGACAGAATGTCTCCTTTCGGGGCGAAAATTGAATGTCGAGAACCCGGGGTTTTTGACTACCGCTGTGGTGGACTTTTCGAATTTGTCGGATTCTGCAAGAAGAACATCCCGCACTCGACTTCAGCCGGTTTTGCAGACCGATGGCAAACGATCAGTGTCAACTTTCAGCATTAGCAGTTGCAGCAACTACCTGCTCGTAACGACAGGCTGCACGATCTATATTTATTTTCTTTCGGGTCGACTGTCTAGGCCAACATCTGCAACCTTCAGCCATGACATAGCGCTAGTCTCACGCATCTCGTGTCCGTTCGAGATTCTCTCGGCAACCATCGACACCAGCAAACCACAATTCACCATCGCTGCATTGCTCTGCAACCGCGTTGGCATGATCTGCAACTTGGATATGGCTTGGGCCAAAGACTCGGCTACCAAAGGATCTCATTCCAATAGCAAAATGGCCACTTCATCCCGCCACTTCTTCTATAACATCTGCACAGTCGACAACCCACCCCGGACAGTTGCTCTCTGTCCAGGGCGGCCGATTGTCGCCTTCGGCTGCGCCGCAGGCATCGAGATTCATAGCGTGAACGAAACAAAGCACCAGGAACAACGCAGACACTTCACCCTCCCCCAACCCTCCGAAATCCTTCATTTCCTCCCAAGTAGTCCGGAAACACCCAACGAGCTACGTCTCATTTCTTCACTATCCGGACCAGGCTTGCACGAATGCAAATGTCCCCCTTCACCTTCCCCTTCCCCTTCATCCGCCTTGGCATCACCAAAACTCGACCCAAAAAGCAACCAATTCCATTTCCTCGCAGATATCCAGTCCTTCAACCGCCGCCGCATTCCCCACGCTCCATCCCGCAGCTTTGTCCGCGCAACACACTGTCACCACTATCGTGCCGTCCCCATTAACGACGGTCTGCACATCATGTTCATCGAGCCACGCACAAGCCTGCTATGTATCGGCACCGACGCTCCAATAGGCGGGCCAACAAGCCTAACCCGCGCATTCGTCTGCGTCCCGCCACCTTTCTCAAACACCCAAAACCGACAAATCAAGACACCACCTCCATCCCCATCCCCCTCAAATACAACTCCGCCTCCAACAGACCTCCCAGTCCCAACAACCTTCACCGCGGGCTCCGACCTCCGCTGGGGTCTCCGTATTGTCGCAGCCTATGGCGACCGCCTCGTGCTGTACTCGATTCCCCTGGACGTATTCAACGTCATCCGCAAAGAGCGTGAACGTCAGGGCGACGGGGTGATGGGTGCCAGCGATCTCGCACTCGACTGGTACGTTGACTTGGAGCGATCCCGCAAGCGGCGCGATAGTCTGGTGCAAAACCAGAATGGGGATTGGGATTTCCTTTTGTCTGTCCCCTATCGGCCTACCGCTATGATGTGGCCGTTCAAGATCTATGGCAAGGAGATTGGGTCTGTGAAGGGGACTGTGGAGCTTGCTTTGCAGTCTTCTGAGGGTGGTGTTAGGGTTTGGGCTTTTGGGGAGGATGGCAAAGGCACGGTTTTGGATGTTGATATTGGCGATGCTCCCACTCGGTCTCTTGGTGTTGGTTCTGATGGGGAATTGGAGGACCTTGGTATCGTTCAGAGGGCTAGCTCAACTGGGCTACGTTCGAGAAAACGCAAGTTTGAGGAGGTGAAGGCAGGGTTTGCGGGTCGTCATGGTGCTGGTCGCTATTCGGCTGATGGAGTCAATGTCAAGCCGTGTGCTGCTGGCGTTCACGGTGTACATCAGGACCCATCTGTTCGACGCTCATCTTTTGCAGCTTGCATTATAGATTTTAAGATTCCCTTGTATTAATATGAAGTGTGAATATACTATTCTCGGATGTCCAGGTACTCAGGTCGTGTTCGTAGTTGCCTTGGTCTTCCTCTGTTTTCCTATTTTGTCTGTTTTGTCTCCTTCTCGTCTCTTCCTTTTACCTTTCCTCCCTCCCCTTCCTCCTCTTCCTCTTCTTTCATCTCTCATTTCCCCTGCTTTATCAATTCCCATATTCTTACCACTCACTCTTATCTCACCTTTCAGCGTCCATCTTGGGGAGCATAGTAAGTTGACATCTATTGATTGTATTCTCAATCAATCATGCTCACCACTTTTCCCCTGTTGACAGTCACCCATTATGGGCACAACTCCCCTCGCCAGCCTCCCTCGAGACTGCTGGCTGAAGATACTAGAGTATCTGCCAAACCAAGATTTGAACAACTTGTCAAAGGTTTCGCACGACACTCGTGCCTCCACTGAGCCTTTCCTGTATCGGTCAATTCACTGGGACTGGCAGCATCCCCCCATTGACAAGATCTTGCTCCTCCTCCGGACTATCTCCGAGCGACCAGAGCTGGCTTCCTACATCTGGCATGTCAGTCTGGTATGGTGGGACGTGGAGTCCCAGAGAACAGAGGTCACTGTCCCCGAAGGAAGGGCCGAATGGAGCAAGATGATGCTAGAATATAGGCACACTTTGATGTGGGCCCGGAAGCTTGTTCGAGACGCGAACTTCCCGGCAAATCGCGATATCAGATGGCTCGGACGGCTTTTTGATGGAGACGCCTACGCCTACGCCACAGTGCTGATCTTGCAACTTCACAATCTTCGCAGCCTTCGACTGGACTTTTCATTCGTGCTTGAAGAGGGCTTTCCCGGGGAGATGTTGCATCACTCTCTCTTCGGCGACGCACCCCCTGGCATATTAAGTCAATTCTCAAAATTGGAAATGGTCGACTATGGAAGCAACTTTCCTCCCACTGAATTACGCGACAATATCAAACTCCCAAGAAGCTGTCAGTTCATCCCTTGGTTCTACCTTCCTTCCTTGAAGGTTCTCGAGATATGGCTCCTTAGTGCGGAGGCAATTTCTGTCCTCCCTGAGAAGACACCGAAAAGACCCTTGAATTTGTCAAACTTGCGCAGTCTTGTTATTTCCAAAACATCTCTTTTGCCTGAGGAAATCGCTTCACTGCTGTCTCAAGTGCCATATCTGGAGTCCTTACATGTGGGTATGGTCTACAAATGCCGGGCAACAGCCGAATTTCTCAAAGCACCCGAATGCCTCCTTCGTTCCTTGGAAACTTCGAGTCAAACGATCGAACATCTCTCTATCAGCTTGGAGCTTCTCCCATGTTGTCTACAAGCCTTCACTCTGCGTGTGAGGAATCAAGCTGGGAAGGCTTTTCGTGGCATGTTGATGAAGTTTCCCAAATTGAAAACGGCATCTCTACCGCTCAAATTCCTCATTGGCTCGGGTACCCCTTCCTGGGAACTTCGCGATGTACTGCCATCAACTCTCGAAGCCATTCATATAAGCCATGATCTCTGGCCAGCCTTAGGCCTGACGGAATTCGGAATGCAAACACTCAAGGCATTTGAGTTACTAATGAGACACAAACAGGATGGTTCTCATCCTTACCTGAACACCTTCTCCTACCAGGGAATGCTTCAGTTTGACGATGAACTCAATGCTGTGGGCTTCCTTTCCCGGGGCAACTACATCTACCTGGTTAAGCAGGAAGCAATGCATCTATTCTGCCGCAGGAAAAGGTACAATCTATTTTCTCGGTATTCTGACTGCACACATGGCTTCATGTTGAGGGGTGTGATCCTGGTAGACAACGTCGTCTACCGGCTCCCTTGGCCGTTCGTTGGGGTCGATGAGCTCCCCACAAGCATGCCTCAACATTTGAGGATCACTGCCCAATCGGATGGGGCCAACGTGTAGACTCATTGTATGAATAGCAGATTTTCGAAATGTCTCAATGTCTCCATAGTGAATATGACCAACTTAAAAAAAAACTTCCAGCCAAGGTATAAGCAATTTAGGCCAAGTCTACGCAGGGGCATATGGGCCAGGGTTACTTTCGGATTTAATGCATACAATGATGAGAACGCACACCTAGGCTTGTAGCCTATTGCACTAAACACGATCCTATCTACCGAACTGCTCTTCCTCGACCCCTTCCGCAGGCGACTTTCCGCGCCGCCAATCGGCGAGTGTGTTCTTCTAAAACCCTCTTCTGTACTTGCCTTGGTGTTTCTCTATTTCCGCTGACAATTCCTTTAGATGCCCCGGAAGTCAATAGCATTTGAATGGGTCTTAATATCTTGGCGGCATGCCCCTACCAAGTCGGCTTCGAGGTAGCCGTTGACCGATCGGCCCAGTATCTCCACTATGAATGCCGCAGCCCTATGAAAATGCACACAAATATAAGTGAGATCTTCGCTACTGCTAAAAAAAAGAAAGTCGTAGCGGTAAATTTGCCCTAGGGTGGAACGTGTTGAGCTTCAAACCCGAAAGAAGTAAAATCATTGAACTTTTTATCCCCTGTGACACGCTTAAGAAATGCCCCGTCGTAAATGAACTCGAATATCTCAACACAGCTTATTTCGTCTCCGATTTTTCCCGACGAGCGCGAACACCTTGAGCCAAAGTCGCCAGTACTGACTCGGTGTCCTCCCAGTTGATGCAGGCATCTGTGATACTGACACCGTATTTGAGACCGGCCTTGCCCTCCGCGGGGACCTTCTGGTTGCCTAGCGCAGGTCAGTATAAACAGCTTTCGACAGATAGTAAAAACGTTCGAAAAACTCACCCTCGTTGATGTTACTCTCAATCATAACACCCATAATAGCATCCTCACCGGCAGCAAGCTGCTCAGCAACCACAGCAGCGACCTTGGGTTGGTTCTTGTGGTTCTTCTCGGAGTTACCGTGGCTGCAGTCAATCATAAGACGAGGACGCATGCCCTTGGCAATAAGCTTAGCCTTGGCATCCGCGATGCTGGCAGCATCGTAGTTAGTGCCCTTCTTGCCTCCGCGAAGGATAACGAAGCAGTCGGGATTACCGACGGTTCCCACGATAGCGACAACACCGGGCTTTGTGACGGACAGGAAGTGGTGGGGGTGCTTAACGGAGCCAATGGCATCAACTGCGACATCGAGCGAGCCGTCGGTACCGTTCTTGAATCCGACGGGGAAGGACAGACCGGAGGACAGCTCGCGGTGGACCTGAGACTCGGTGGTGCGCGCACCGACGGCACCGACCGACAGACAATCGGCCAAGAACTGGGGGGAGATTGTGTCGAGCATCTCGCTGGCGATGGGCATGCCCTTGTTGGTCAGGTCGACGAACAACTGGCGCGATACGCGGAGACCCTTGTTGATCTTGAAACTGTTGTCGATATCCGGGTCGTTGATCAGGCCTTTCCAACCGACGGTTGTGCGGGGCTTCTCGAGGTACGAGCGCATCACGATCAGCAGCTCATCGGCGTACTTCTCCTTCATCTTCATTAGGCGATCGCAGTATTCGAGGGCCATTTCCGGGTCGTGGATGGAGCATGGTCCGATGACCACCATCAGACGCTGGAGCTTGGTATCTGTGCCATGGACAATCTCGACGGCTTCATTTCGTCCCTCGAGTACGGTCTGTCGTGACTTCTCGGTCAATGCGATCTCATGCTGAAGGAGATTGGGTGGGGTGAGAGGGTTGTAGCCGAGAACTAGAGCTTGTTAGAGACCAATTACGCGTAAAAGGAAACTGTCAGACTTACTGCGAGAGTCTTCCAAATGACTGTGGTTGCCCACATTAGGGTTATCAATGAAGAACTGTGGAATTGGCGACGTCAGAGGTGTAAAATTAAAAATCAATGAGGGGCTTGACTCACCGACATCGGAGGCAGAGGGGGAAGGTGAAGAGGGCAGGTTTTCAAGGGCAATTGAGGGAAACGGAAGTAATTGCAGTGAACAGAAGAATACCAAAATATAAAAATAGAGAGAAACCTTGAAGCTCGCGAATGAGTCAAAAGCTCAGAGTATAAGAAGTTCCACGTGATCCTCGGTGAACTTGGGCCGGCGCTGGAGTTCCAATCACGGCGATCCCATTTATAAAAAGAAATGTGGGAAAATGTGGACTAAAACATATCATATTGATATTTCGGCATAAGAATCAGGCCACTTGCATGCAATACTGCTCATCCTTGTTTCATCCTCCGAAATAATACATGTAGGTGATTTCCTAAGCCCCCGTGTCTTCAGTCTTCAGATTGGCCCTTGTTGCACCCGACGGTCGAGCTCCTGCAGTCCACGAACCAGGTCTTGACATATATCTGCATGCTGTTCCTTAACAGATTGCATCTGCTGTCGGTATAGCTGCATTCGTGCTTCTTGCGCCTGGAACAGGTCGTCAAGGATCCGACTACATCCCTCTCGGTAGATCTCCAGGACTCGACTGATAGTGGCCTTTTCTGCCGCCAGCTGAGTGGACAAATTCTAAACGCCAGTTAGCACGGTCCCACTCACATAAACAGTATCGACTAACCGAATTGGTTTGTTGAAGCAGGTGGTGCGCGTCTTTCTGCGCCACTTGCAAAGTTGATATCCATTCCATATCATCATGATCACCCCTTGCAGAGGATTGGTGCGATTTATCAGCTGACTGTGTTGACCCTGATATATCTGTTCGGGACGATTGGTCAAGATACTCGTGATTCTTTGGAGGAGCGCTGCCTAATGCTCTCTCGTCGATCGTTCTCTGGGAAGAACTTGGTCCAGTCGTCGATGCTTTCTCGGAGTGGGCCCCATCAGCAGTATCCTCCTGGGAGAACGACGGGCGATGCTTTTTAGGCGGCGGCCATGGATGAGATTTCGCCAGTTTTTCCGTTTGGATCCCATATTCCAGGAACATGTCTCTCTGAAACTTGGTCCACATGAGCCCTTCATATTTACTCTCAGTAGAGATACTGCATGAGCTTCGATCGTATTGACTTGGACTGGTGTTAGTGACACTGATTGTCTCTTCGTGGCCCCTTTCGCCGTCCAAATCAAACTGAGGCGAAACCATGCTCTTGGCTGGCTGGGGCATGAGTCGAGGACTACCGTTACCGTCGACAATGCTGGTCCTCAGGACTGATTTTGGGGGATGGGGAGATGCATAATTCGGTTCCATTAGGGATTCATTGGTGAGAAGCGGCTTTTGAGACTCCGGGGTATGGCTACCCTCGCGTCCCTCAATCCCTGCTATGAGATCATTGAGTTTTCCTACCTCTGATATACCCGAGCTGTCTGCCTGGCTTTCGCAAATGTTAGTGGCGTGTGAAGGGGTGGTCGGTGCGGATCTCATGGGCTGCAAGGTTGCAAATCCGGGGATATGTTCCATTTCCATGTGGTAATCAAGGATTGAAGGGCTGTTTCCCATCAAGCCTCTGCCGGCTTCAAATTCTGAAGAGCTCGCTGGAGTGGACATTCTGTCATCGCCCAGGAGCTTCCAGAAGCTTGCGTCATCCAGCTGTTCTATCTTCTCTTCCTTAGGCGGAAGTGTTTTGGTAATCAATGCTGGATTGACAGTCTCAGGCTCGGTTTGGTTCGGGGGTATTTCAACTGGAATTGCTTTGTCCAGTACTCTTTGGATATCTGAGGATTCCAACACTGTTTCGATCGGCATTTGGTCAGACTGCTGTTTTCTAGGAGATTCCTGGGGTTGCACTGAATCGGAGGAAATGATGAGAGGTGCATTTCGGTCATTGACTGGCTCGTGATGAGAAGGCTCTGCTCCGTGGAGCGCAAGCATCAGCTTGTTGCCAACACTCTGTGCTCTACCACCATTTTTGGGATGACTCTTGTCATGAACCGTCTTGGCCTGGCTGCTTCGTTCCTTTGGAAGTGCCCTTGACTCCAGGATGGTGACCTTTGAAGGAGTGGTGCGAGACGGTCCTTTGAGGTCGACGTCGGAACTTGAGGATACCTCGGGCATCACATAGACAGATTTGCCTTTATTTGTTTGTCTATTGGACTTTGCCCGATGCTCCAGGATGCTGACTTTTGAAGTACGGGATGGCCCTTTGCCATGGTCTTCGAAATCCGAGGATGACTCAGTTGTCACCGATGTGCAGCTTCTTATCCCGACGGTCACACCTCGCTCGCTGTTATTTCCATGCTTGTTGTGGCCATCTGTCGGTAGCGAAGGTTGGTTCGAAGCTTCGGGCACATGGCCATCTAGCTTCGTGGCGTAATCTTTGCTTTGCCCGTCCAAGGGGCCCATATCAGAAAGCCCGCTATTACCTAGAGGGGCTGCAGGAGGCAAGGCGCTTGCAGTAAGCGTTATCAATGGCAATTGTGGCCCTACGTTGCTGCCCTCCTTGGTAGTAGTGCTCTTCCTGTTCGATTTCCTGCGTTTGGCCGAGGTCGTTTGTGGCTTTGATTCCATTGCTCGCTTGCTTCCTGTGTTTCTGCCAACTGTCTTCGGTCGCTTCGGGTCTGTATCGGCAACGGAGGTCCCTCCATGGGTCCCTTTATTCTCAGCTATCTCATTGGGTGTAGGACGCAGATCTTCATCCCAGTCCACTTCTTGGGGTTTGGGTTTGGGTGGCCTTGGTTTTGTGAGCTTCAGTCGCACAATCTTCGACTCCGAAGACTGGGATGGAGGGGCTTTTCGCTTTTGACGACCTGAGCCTTTGAGGTATCCCGGGGTCGCTCGGTCTTTGGCAGTCGCCTTACTCCCGGTGTCTAGATTGATTGGTTCAGATGAGCCCTGAACTGGCTTCATGGTCGCTATCGTCATACACTTGGAATCAGAACATGAAGATGGTAAGTAAAAGAAAACGTGCTCTCCAGAGCTGCGCAGCTGGTGAGGGTGCTGAACTAAGCACAGTTCCAGCATATTGATCACATGATACCTCATCTATATGTTGTACAACATCACTCCAATTGTCCTACTATGATATACATGAAAGGAATATAGATCTGATAATCAACAGCCAGGTCTCATTTTATTAATATCTATTAATTCTCTTACAATTATGTGGGGAAGTATATTCATAGCTGTGTTCTGTATATTATTGTATTCTACTTTCACTGAATATCTAAAAATGCCGAGATTGATAAATCAAGATTCTGGGGAAGCCAAGTGTTCTATTTATATCTCAAGTTGCGTGCTTGTCACGTCTTTGAGATCACAGTCAGTTAACTATCAAAAGCAGCTTCCCCATAATATTCTCTCCCATTCTCCTCAGACCTGATCCTACTCAACTGCTCAAGTACCATCCCTAACCTTCAGAATCCACTCGGAATTAATGCATCTTCAATCCTCATCCGATCGGCCCGTGGAAACTCCGCGATCCGTGACCCATCCACGATTAATAATCGCCACCATTCGATCTGGTTTGCTGACAATGCATCAATTCATGCGGCTGACAGGCTTTATAAGCAATGCAGGTTAACCCTGCTGCCAGGTCTCATGTTCATACGCCCAATATTGCGTTATAGGTCTACACGATGGCACAACAAGCGGCACAAGACGGCGAAGAGATGCCAGCTTCTCGATGCCTGTTCGATGCGATCCAACCGCTAGACCGGCTTCGAGGCCTTCTCCTCGCCGACTATTCTAAGCCTACGAATGCCGAGCTCGAGACCGACCCTATTTCCAGAACGAATGTTCAACGCCGTCGAGCCTCAAGCGTCGTCACTTCCCTTGAACAAGATGCGACTCTTCCCGAGAAGATATCCATACAACAGGAACACGGGATTGGTGTATCTGAATCCGCCGCCAGGGATGAGACGGTTCTCTACCTCGCGTACGGGTCAAACCTAGCTTCCAAGACTTTTCGTGAAGTGCGCGGCATCAAACCACTCTCGCAGATCTGTGTGCTCGTTCCCGAACTCCGTCTCACCTTCGATCTTCCAGGAATACCGTACGCAGAGCCGTGTTTCGCAGGCACAAATTACAGGGATATTTCTCCTTTGGCAGATGACGAGGTCAAACTCCAAGATCACGAAACAGATGCGGACAGCGAGTATCTGTCAGAGAAGGCAGCGCTCATGGGTCGGACACAGCAGGTGGAGGCAGTCTCGGGTTGCGACAAGCGTCAATGGCACAAACCTCTAGTCGGAGTCGTCTACGAAGTTACATTGGCCGACTACGCGAAGATCATCGCCACAGAGGGCGGTGGTCGTGGATACCGCGACTGTGTCATCAACTGCCATGCCTTCCCTCAACCCTACAACTCATCCGACCCGGTCCCAGACTACCCCACCACACCAGCTTTCAAGGCACGCACCCTACTCTCACCAGCTGCGGAGAATGCCCGCCTTGAATCACAATCCCGGAAAGGCGATACGACGCTGCTGCCCAGCCCAAAGCTGTCGTGGTGGTATACGGTCTGCTTGCATTTCCGGCCGGATTCTGACTACGCTCAGCCCTCTGCCCGCTACCTTGGGTTGATCAAGACTGGCGCTGCGGAACATGATCTTCCTGTTTCATATCAAGAATATCTTGCGCAGATCAAGACTTATCGTACTACAACCGTGCGCCAGAAGATCGGGAAGGTGATTTTCCTGGCCATGTGGGCGCCTTTGTTGATTGTGACTTTGGTTTTATCCAGAATATGTGCAGGTCCTGATGGTCGTATTCCGCCATGGCTGGTGGCTGTGGCTAATATCACGTTTTCGGGTGTGTGGAATAGCTATGATCGTTTCTTCGCTCCTGTCTTTGGGGATGGCGAGCGGACTCTAGATGATACCCCGGCCTGAAGTTGCTTCTGAGCCTTTTCTGATGAGCTTTATAGCCGTATATATTCTTGCATATACATACAACAATTAGAAAACGATCTGTACACTCGTCTTATTACCAAGTCGCAGAACATACCATTTCATATTCCTATGAAACAGCAACTCTAGACTTCCATGGTTATATGTAACGATTTCATCTGTCATAATCACAAAGGAAATTAAATTCAGATGACTCCTCGAAGCACACAGTTTTCGAAAGGAAATGAAAAAAAGAATATATCTAGGATACAGATACAGGTGTTCGGGGAGCGTTCTAACAAAACACAGACACAGCGACCAATAGATAGACACATAGAAAATGACGAAACAGAGAGGCTTCTTTGAAGCACCTGTATCAAGACCGGGGATGTGGTATGGGTTCCCCAAGTCGTACCGGCCCCTTCAGCCTCTCACATTTTCCCACTCAAAAAGGCCTTGCTGCAACATTTAACGGCGGGGGCCGATCGGGGGGCTGTACACGATCTTTCGGGTCTTGAGAGGGGCCCACTTGTAGCGCTTGACCCAGACGGAGATGGCGAACAGACCGGTCAGGAGGACAACGGACTTGACACCCATCTTCTTGCGTTCGTCCATCTCGGGCTCGGCGGACCAGTTCAGGAACTCGACGACATCCTTGGCCATCTGGGAGGTGGTGGCGGGGGTACCGTCCTCGTACTCGACAACACCGTCAAACAGGACACGGCCCATAGCAATACCTATCACTGAGTTAGAAACACTAAAAAGGAAAAAAAAAGTATGGGCTTGTCGTTACGTACCGGTACCGGGGAAGTAAGGGTTGAAGTTCATGCCCTCGGCGACGGCAGCACCAGCGGGAGGCTCGTCGGGGTAGCCAGTGAGCAGGTTGAAGACGTAGTTGCAACCACCGTGACGGCCCTTGGTGATCAAGCTGAGATCGGGAGGAAGAGCACCGCCGTTGGCGGCACGAGCGGCCTCCTCGTTGGGGTAGGGAGCGGGAATGTAATCGGAAAGCTTTCCGGGGCGCTTCTCGATGTTACCCTCGTTGTTGGGCTCGGTGTCGTACTCGTGCTCCTCGGCGAAGGCCTTCATCTCATCGACGGTGTGCATGGTGCCGACCATTGAACGCCAGGGGACACGGCTGAGGGAGTGGCAGGAAGCGCAAACCTCACGGTAAACCTGGAAACCACGGCGGAGACTTGGACGGGGTCAGTACAATGTATGCTGGCGAGAGCACGAATGTGACTTTAAGGAGAGAGCACTCACGCGGCGTGATCGAAAGTTTTGTTGAACCGCTCGTGCACCCAAGGGTACTTAGTAGCGTGGAGTCTAGATAAAGTCACCCGTTAGCTTCCACCATTGTTCTCAGCATGGATCGCACAATGAGCCATGAGGTCGGCGATCCTCCTGGGCATTTTCACTCACCCCTCCTCGGCAGGTGTCATGGCGAAGGCCTCCTGGCCATAAAGGTGGTAGTACCATGCGGTGGAACCGGCGGCGGCGGCAGTTGCAAGCGCAGCAGTGAGTGTGAGGTAGAAGGGGGAGCTGGCGGCCTCGGCGCCGGCGGCGGTGGAAGAGGCACGCTGTTGAATATTAGCAACGGAGTCCTTGGATAATCCAATGCCAGTTTAAGAGATCAATTGTCCTTTTCCGTGAAGGTCAATGGGGTGAGGGCGTACCGTGGACTTCCCGAGGGACTGGCGGGCGAAGGCCCGGTTGGACGCGCGCAGAATCGAACGTCCCAGCATGACGATGTTTAACCCAAGCAATTGAATTTGATTGGGAATAGGTGCTGTAACGCCAAAGCGAGAGAGGGGTGGGTGGGGAGAGGAGGGGGGATGGTACAGAAGAGAGATGCTGGAGGTTGAGGTTGAAGTCGAAGAAACTTGACAATTGATGATTACCCCCTTGCTCTGATTGGCTCCCGGCCACGCTAGAAAACCGACACTCGGAACATCGCAATTCTGCTGACCTATAATGGACTTGATCTATATAAACTCTACTAATTGTTTAGAATAAACCATTCTATCCTGTCTATAGCTTCTTGTTCTTCTTCTTGTTCTGTGTCGTCGTCTTTTTTTTCTCCGGTTGTGCGTATCCCGGGATTCACCGAGAAAAACACGCATCACCGGAACACCAGTGCTCTGTTGGAATATAGCTAGAAGACTTTTAAATCAGGTTGCTACTTACTAGCTACATATGTATCTATGTGTTACACTAATCCATATTTCCCCAACATTCAATATCTTCTTCAAAGACCGGGTATCTCGGGTTCTATCCTGTACCTCCATACATAGCTTCATAGGTAAGTCTTACTATAGCTATGTTTGGCTATATCAGCTTGTATTGCAGATCATATCATATTAGGGAGAACATCATTGATTTAAATGGCTTTTCTGGCTCTCAATGGTTCAAAAAAAACTAGAATTAGAAAGTATTATTCTATGTTAAATCTCAATCCTTCTCCCGATGTATATATTTAGCCACCAAGTTGCTTTAAAAATCTTCAATTTTCTTAATTCACTTTCCTCATAGCTACACAACAGCCACAATTGAGCTTTCTACAGCATCAGAAACCAAATATCCTTCAACTCTCTTATTTTCTTCCAATTGAAGAAAGCCCGATCGTCCACTCCGTACAGCTGACTCTATGAGAGAGCGGTGTACATTTTGCCAGCCCGAGGAGGCGGCGGCGTTGGACCCTGTCTGTGCGTGATCGTGCAGCATTGGAATGTGGTTCCTGATTTGTAGTTGGGAAATAAGTGGTTAGATGTGAAGATGTCTGCTTGAGAACTCGACGTCAAATATACCCCGAAGACGCCGTGTCTGCTCGATATCGAGACCGAACCATTCCCCACAACCCCGCGGGACAGCTTGGAGCGAGTCTGAGGCTGCCTCAAATTCTGAGATCCCCACGAGTGCCTTCTCTTCCGATGCAGAGTCCAGGAACACAATATGCCAGGTGCAAAGAAAGGGCCCACGGCCGCAGCTCAGGCGCGCAGAGATGTGCTGGCCTCGCTGCAC